GCAGAACACTTGAAATGCCTACAAGAATATATCACGCGTCCTCTAGCAGAGATATTTACGGAAATACTTGCATCAAGAACTGTTCCAAAAGATTGGCTTGGTTCCCACACTATCTTAATCCACAAGAAAGGATCGCGTGATATTCTGGCCAATTATCGCCCAATTCGCACTTCTATCGGCAATGCTCAAGGTTTTCTCACGCGTCATCCTGAATCGTATTCGTCGGAACCTTAATATTAACACGTGCAGAGAGCAAGCCGGCTTCCGCGAAGGATATTCCACTATTGACCAGATTCACGTGATCACCCAATTGACGGAAAGATGTCGAGAATACCGAATCCCTCTATGCTATCTCTTCATTGACTTCAAAAAAGCATTCGATACAGTTGAACATCAGGCGGTGATAAACGCCCTCATTGCTTTCGGAATTTCTCGAAGATATGTCGAAGTGATACGGCAGTGCAATACGAGTTGCTACACTGATGTAAACTTACTTGGAAATCCGATTCGTGTCAATATGCAACGCGGCGTACGACAAGGCGAAGTCATTTCTCCAACGCTATTTTCTGCTGCTCTCGAACTCGTGATGCAAAGAGTTGAATTGCCCTGCGGCATCGATATAGATGGCGAAAACTCCAATATCTGATGTTTGCAGACGACATCGTGCTAATCGGTAACGATCCGGGTACGCTCGAGACTCATTGAAGATCCTGAAGGATGTTGCTTGCTCTATTGGACTTGAAATCCACCCAGGCAAAACTAAATGGATGAAAAACGCTTTCACGAGAGACTACTGTTTGCGCATGGAAGGCTCTGTCATAGAGGAAGTCTCTTCTTACGTTTATCTAGGTCAGGCAGTTACAATGGACAATGATCTCTCAATCGAAATAGGACGACGCCGCAAAGCAGGATGGGCAACATTCAATAAGTATCGTGGAATTCTTACTGACAGGCGGCTCGACGCTCGAATCAAAGCTCGAGTGTTCAACACCCATGTGTTGACGGCATTGGTGTATGGTAGTGAAACGTGGAGCACAATCAAAGAAGAAGAGAGAAAACTGGCGTCAACTCAAAGAGCAATGGAACGATCAATGTGCGCAGTGACGTTAATGCACAAAATTCCTGCTAGTGAAATTCGAAGGCGGACAGGAGTGAAAGATGTCTGGAATTTCGACCTATATATAACTCATATGCATTCCCTTCCTTGCAATACATACAGTGCTTTCCTGCTGAAGGGATTGGTTTCCTAGATCCGGAATTGAGTAAAACATTTCTTCCGCGCGACAAAATATCCTCTAATTGACTTGTTTTGTTGACTTGTATATCCTCTATTTATCTCTTCCCCTTTTCTTGAACATTGCTAATAAGAGTTTTCTTCATGCGAGGTATTGAGATCTTCCTTGTCCCATAGAGAATGCTGCAGGCACTTTATTGCTAACCATAACCTCTTCGCACTCATTGGGTCAAACTACCCCTGAGCGCAACTTCAAAGCCAAATCTGAGGTTTTGACGCAATTCGTTGGGCTGGTCATTTACTTCGCCGAGACGATGACAGATGGAGCCTCCGAGTCACTGAATGGCTCCCAAGAAACAAAACAAGACCGCTAGGACGACCGCAAACCCGGTGGGCCGACTCGTTTTCAAAGTATTTCAGACAACGCGGTCTACACTGGATGCAAGTTGCCAGAAACGGGAAGCATGGAAGAGCTGTGGTCCCCGCTGAGAAGATCGCCAGCTGAAGGACTATCAAAGTATCAAAGTATCAAGTATATACACATGTATTAGCCCTTCTAGACTGCATCAAAACGGATACACTCGGCCCGATAAGGAATTTTTGTATCTAATTTGTACTACTGCAGCTTTTGATAGAGTTTCTAGAAGATATCCAGGAGCTAGAAGCTTCGTGGTACTCGACCAATTTTAAAATTCTCTTTTTATTCGCACACATCGTACAGGAGAAACTTCCTTTGCGGTCTTATTCAGGTTACGTTTGCTCAGCTTTGGCCATCGACAGTGTACTCAAGCTGTTATACCGAAGCTTCGTCTCATCGCATTTAGGCGAACGTAACGTCACAAGTTGATTATGTTGATTTATGTTATTTTATGTGATTTATGTGATTCATTATGTTGATTTCTTATTACATGACACTATCTCCCATATCATCAGCTTCTCATAAGAGTACGAGAAGTAGTACCTCCAAAGACAGGCCCGTTGCTGCAACAGTTTAGATCTTCGCTGCAGACAAGGTGTCAGATAAAAATTCGTTCTGTATGCGATAAAGCAAGAAACAGTATCTATCGGAAGCCAGTGAGCTTTTTGAACGCTCCTATTTGCATTGATATCCCCCTCGACGTGCTCTATCGAAGGCAGCAGCAGCGATCACAATAGTAGCTGTAATTAAATATGACTGTGGATGAACTCGGTAACTTTCTTACGTACCCTGTAAACATTGATGGTAACCCGCATGACATCCTGAAGAATATCCGTCTGATACTTTCTGATCGATCGAAATTGTTAAGTGCAACTCATCCCAACCATGTTGTTCGGTGCAATCATATGGCTTCAATATCGATTATATTGAAGCTTTTGCTAATTACCTGCTTCTTCCAAACTGGGGCATTTCGACAGCCAATTTCCGAATTTTTTTGATAGATCGTAAGTATGATTTTTGATGAGGTCGAACAAATTTGTCACAATCAGATTCCCACAAAATTCTGTCAGTGAGCAGGCAGTCAGTCTTACTGCCATATCCAATCATTCTGAGTTCATTGTTGACCCACTTGAGTACAGCTTACCATAGAGTCCAGATTTTTATCGAATGGACCTGATTTTCCAACCACTCGTGTGCGAAATCGAAAGGAGATCGAGAAGTGGTGTTTATTTAGGATGAATTCAACATTATAGTTCTGGTCAGCTCTTCCGTGGTACCAGTCAACATTTGAGAGTTTTAGGAAAGTGTGTTAAATTTTTTACCGTCTGTGAAGTTTCAAATAACATTCTATGAGCCTGTGCTCCGTCCAGAGGCTGTCGACATTTTCCGCCAGTATTTCTAACTGCACATCCGGGAGAGCTTATTTTTGAAAAGGTACATGGTGTCATTATGTCTGCTACGCAATGTTCCTCAGGTCTTTCAACAATACCTTCGTTAACTTCCGAATGTATGGCCACATTTCTCAGGCATCTCCGAGAAATGCGTCGGGCGAGCTTTTGGCGATCTTCTCACCTTCGAATTCAGCAAATGATCTACTTCTAAAGCGATCACGCTGGCTTCCACGCTGGATTTGCTACCCTCGCGTTATCAATCGATAAGGTGTGAGGCAGTAATTGTTGGACGAGTGTAAGCCCATGGAAGATATGATACGATGAGATAAGAAGGTGCGGCTGCTTGATAAGAGGTGCACTCCAGAATGAAAACGGGACGATAACGATAACGGTATCATATCTAGCACGCTCTTATCGCACCCCTTTCCACATCGATAAGTCTTGGTTTTTGCTGAACGGAAGTGGATTTCGGCGCCTTATCACTCCGTTGATAAGGCGCCACTGCCACTGAAACTTCACGTGTTCTAACATTGGGCAGGACCCCTATCCACTCCAGTACACAGCTTTCCTTATCGTTCCTATGAGAATTGTCGTGACCACCCTTTAAGAAAAAGCCATCAAGTGTACTTTGCTTCAAAGTCGGATAACAGCATGTCCATGCATCCTCTTCATATAGCAAATCTTGGCAAAGCTTTGATCGGAGACACATTCGGCTTAAAATCGCTATATTGCGAATGGAGCGAAGCCATCCACCAAAACGCAACGGTCGCGATTAACGAAACCCGGACAAACGTGGGAGCAAAGGTGCTACATGGTGCGCCGTTGAAGAAGTACGAAGTGATAACGTAAAAAAACCGGTGAACGATCATTACACACAAAAGATAAAAACAATAAGATAAGAAGATGCACTGTGCACTATTACAGAAATGAAATGCCAACGATATGGATAACGTGTCACATGAAGCATGCTGCCATTGTTTGCTCTACATCTGGAAAGTTGGGCAGTAGGGGTATGGAGAGGGGTAGCGATAGGAAGGTGTCTAAGTTTGAGTTTTCAGCGCCTGATCACGCCGTTGGTGTCGCGCTTCTGCTGCGATAGCGTCACCTATCGTATCTGGGCATCCACCCCTTTTTAACTGTGCATTTCCCTTGTGTAAATACTGGAATTTATCGCGACCGCTGCCTTTGAGGTGTTGCACATATTCACGACAAAATTCATGAAGCTTCTACTCGTGCACACACCGCTCTGTAAAAGCCAGTTCTGTCCCAAAAATGTTTGCCTAATTCTGGCACAACACACGTTTAATGTTGGTAGTCAAAGGTTACACAATATCACAACTGCGAAATTTATTTTCATCGAAGTGGACAAAGTTTTGTTCAAGACGACCATTATCACCACCTTTTGCAATGGTTATATTTAGTTGTGAATTCCTCTTCGGTCAACGGACCTATTTTGCGAGTGGACTTCTTTGTTATCTTGTCCTCCTCCTCTATGTATTCAAAGTAGTATGGTTTGTAAACTTCCCTCCTCTGTAATATGTGATCATATAATTGATAGGAACACTTTGAAGACACCGCCTGTAGTGTAATTTGATAGCATGTATTATGTAATATGATACGTACCTCATCGTATTGCAGAACGAAGAAAGGGTAATGAACGAATTCGAATCGGCCTCCATCCTTATATGAGAGAACCTTATAATTGCCGAATGGATCGTTTTTGTCCTGCAGAAATTTTTCTTCAATGTGAACATCACAATGTGGACGCTAATTAACTCTAGTTGCCTAGTTAACTTACGAATTTTCGTTGGAAATATTCCACAACCATATCCCCCATATATTTGTTGCAAATGTTAGATGGCCAATGTGTTTGAATTTCCCAAAAGTGAGGGTCTGGGCACGCCAACATCCTGTGATGGATTGCGCTAGACATAGCACAATAAACAATGCGATGACCTTCATACTTGCAGATCGAAGGAAAGCTCGACGTAATGACCTGAAAATGTGACAACCTATCCTTTCCTGAACTTTTATACCCATCAGATTTCAATATTGTACCTACAGTCCTGCACTTTGATGAAGTAATAATGTATTATAATGTGGTTTTTCTTTGTTCATTGATAAACACATGTTTCGTGTGTGTATTGAAAATCACTACGCTTTTCCATGGCCAATTTCATTGTGGCAAGGCTTTTATGAAAGAGTCGCGTAATGCACGTGGGCTTAGAGGGATAGTCGTTAAGTTTTGACAGCTTCTACGGTAAGAAGCTGTTTGGCGTGGTCAGTGGATCAACTCCGTTACTCTAGAATTGGTTTATCTTGTCT